GGGGGTTGAATTGAATGATCAATTATTAGACCCGGACGTCCCAACACTTGCTTCGCAAGACAAACTCAAGGTATCCCCTAAAGGGCTACCTTTCGTGAAAAGTAGGAAAAAGTTGGCAAAAGTCTATGCAACAGTATGGAACAATCATGGTTACGTGGAGTTCACCACCTGCTTGGTCTTCGGCTTTCGTCATCCGAGTCTGGGCCACCAGTACCCACGTTGGCCACCACGGTTTCAGACCCATGAACCCCGGTTCGATCAAACAGGGCAACCGGTGGAAACGCGCCGACATCAATGGTTTTGGCTTCCCTGGTGAACATGGTTTTGGGTCCAAGCCTGAGAAGTGGACATCTGTAGAGAACAATCACCGAGTCGAGACTGCGATATCCGAATCGGGCTTCCCTGGTGACGTGCATAGTCTGCTTTGGTCACGAAGGGTGGGTTTTGCAGGGCCAAAAGTCTCTCTGAAAATCCATTCTCCTGTCCAAGCACTTTCATAAGCATCAACCCATCCATCCATCCGTGTACCAGTACCACTACAGGGTCTGAATAATTATAGGACCTGGTCTCTCAACCTCTCTCAAGCTCTCTCTTGGCCATGGTCCAGGCACTTCTTGCAAACAAAAATCGAGTTGACCGGATGCTTTTGCGCTCCATCAAGGGTCCTTCCACATCGCATGCCTGACAGGGAAGCTGATTGTTTCGAAGGTGGAAAAAGTGCCTCTGCAAGGATATTATACCCAAAAGGTTGAAATGAACATTTTCGCACTTCTGCTCCTTCCTGTGTGACTATGTGACATTGTGGGCTTACTGGACACCCAGTAAGGGGGGCTTATTCTATGCGTTCCTCTGACCACGCGATTCTCGGGGCCGTTTCGGGGACACCGATCCACCGCGCAGGTGTGCGATCCAGCTGTTCAGCTTGTCCAATCCCTGGATCGATCCCGTTGTCGTGATGACCATGTTTCATCCTGCGTGATGACCCAAGGGGACACCATAGTAACGGTAAGACCCATCTTATGCTTCGAAGGATTGGACAACTGCACTTGAACTTGTTGAACTTGCTTTACTATGCATGTGTACGCAAAGAGCCCACAAAAACATCCAAATACATGTTGCCAAAAAGCTTGCCTCTATACCATGGTCCCAACATAGGTGCTTGAAATTAGTGGCCACCTGTTGTAATACATCGGATCGGTGATCAACGGTATTTCATGTTGCTCCACATCTTGAAAGCTTCAACATGTGCGACACTGGGCGACATGCCGACATGCCTTCGCTTTCATGATGTCACTCTCTCCGTGGGTGGGTCGACGCAGATGGACTTGCGTCACTTGGATCAAGTGCTTTTCGACATCCTGAGGAAGGCCCTCGGTCGTGGTGCTCGCACCGCAGCCCATGGCGATGCGTGGGCAAACGAACGGTCGAGGTCGTGGGCGAACGAGCCAAACTGCCTGCAGGTGATGCCTGCGGAACTTGACAATGACTTTTACCATGGGGACAACCATATATTATATCATTGACTATAATTATGCAAAATCTACCAAATGATATATGACATAGTTTAAGATATTATTTATGTTAAAGAGGCGGTGCGTAGCATTCTGGTGACCCTTTTTCGGCAGGCGGCGTTTCTCCCTTCACCTGCGCATTCCGGTCACCGGTCCTATTTTTGGGAAGCAATGTGGTAGACCTTTGGGAAGCCCCAAACAAATGGGTGTCTTTTTCGATTCTTTAAAACTTTAAGCCAGACCCGAGGAACATATCAAAAGCTATAACCACTTGTATAGACGCAACAAATGATCGACACATGACCCCCTCAGTGGTGCTGCAACTTCGGCCACTTCGATCCAACTTCAAAACATCGCACCACATCACCGGATCATGTCGTTTTGGTCGGCTCCTCCACACCCTGAGATAATGCCCATAGAGTGGTTATACATATTGGTGTATACATATTGGTGTATGGGATTGTATGGGATACTATGGGATATTCCCTCACTTGTCATGAATCAACAAGTAAAATAAGTAAACAAGCTATAGTTAAAGGGTCCAACAATGACAAAATATGACAAATTCATCAAGCTCCGTTCCTCTATTCATCAAACAAATCCCCAACAATGCATGGAACAGGCACATAGATTATATACCTATACATCGGGGCGGTTGAAAAAGGGTCAATGTATGCATCAATGATCCAATGTTCAATGTCGGTGTGCAATAGATCCCCAACCCATGAACCGGTTCACAAATGGGTCGACTGGTCGACTGGTTCCTTTCGAGGGTCGACTCGCCTCGTTGAGGAAGGAGCGCAGCACATGACCCATGGGCCCCTGCTGACCGGCACGTGCGACAGGACGGGCGCCCGGGGACGGCGCGGAGCGGTGTGGCAAAGGGGAACATGTGGATTCAGGATGATTCAGATGAAACTCTCCACAAATGGAGATGTCTGGAACCACGTAGATGCCAGGTCAAGAGTCTACATGAATTACACATTGGAGGCTCAGAAATACTCCTCCTATGACATAGTCCATCGGTGATGATTCTGAGATTTGACAGTCAAATTTGTATGTGTCGTTATATAAGTAAGTAATAAGTAAAATTGTAGATTATGGCTCATCAGCTGACACACCGACCCCAATCAAACACAGTCGAAGCAATCCAAAAAGAACTTTGACGCTGCATGGATCCTGCTGGCAACATCCGCACCCGAAAAACAGCCCCGACCTATGGTCGAAAGGATGGATCTACGGTTCGTTTGGTGATCCCACAAGCAATCTGTTTAAGCACATTCCAGCACCAACAATCTTTTCTGGAAAGCATACTTATGTACTTTAAACTGAGCAAACATCACATGACTTTAGTTGGTACTTCAACATAGTTCAACCGTTCAACCTGAACACCGTTTGTCATGCAAAAACGAGGGGCAACAGTCGACGACTTCGGACGACCAGACCCAAGGTCCTTGAGGACACGAAACCTGGACCCACGTCAAACGGGCGTGGCGGGCGCAGCCTTCCACCAGATCTGTCGCAAATCCAAGGCTTCTTGGGCCGACGGAGGGAGAGGAAGTACCTGGGAAGGCGTTGAAGATCTTTGAAGCCACCCATGTGGAACATCGGGCATTTGCTTTTGTTCAGCAAAAACTAGACCTTGAGGGGTGGCTGAAAGTACAAATGTTCGAACATGTGGACCATGAAAAGAGTCTAGAGACCAACTGTCTTCATCCATGTTCTATCTCTTTGCAGCTTTTTAAACAAATCACAAGCAAACAAAAAGGAACGAAACCGTCGATTTCCTTGTTGCAGCGGGGTCATGGCATCAGTATTCCTTCATTGACCTACCTGCTGTCGGTCGTGTGTGTCCGACCATCGTCCGCAGGGGGCGAAAATGGAGAAGGACCGTCCTGACGCTCCTGAAACAGCAGGTCGGCACGCCAAAGGTAGATAGATCATATGATATGTAGATCATGATGACTCGACTCTTTTGTGCTGTCATGCGTACAGCATCGTACAGCCCTTCACCCTGGTCGAGTATGACGAGGTCCTGTAGGAGGATTTGGGATCGAACATGTTAGAGCGGAACAAAAGAAACAATAAGACACCTAGTGGTCCACACTTGTTGAATCATGGAACCAATCCCTTCCAATCCCTTCCACTATTGACCAACCGTGACCAACCAACATGACTGACATTGATTCACCCATATGACTTGGCCACCCAAAGGCTGTTGCCTCCGCAGGCGTGAAGAAGGGCGAGGCCAATCTTCTCAGCTCCTGCGAGGCCTCCGGCCGGGTGGCGGGTGGCTCCCCGAGAGGAAGGATGGAGACAGGACCGGATGTGGTGTTGGATACCAAAACCGTATAGAATTGATATACGGTTATCTCATATCTCTCTACTAAGAAAGTCATCCGAGTTTTTTCCTTCATCCTTTTGTTATCTTTATTCCCATTCTAGTGGCGATCGATTTTGAATTCCTTTTGACGATTTGACCCACACGATCCCAAACGGTCTCTTTGAAACGAACCACAAAGCACTCGCATATGAAGCCGTCTGCTGGGGGGGGGCGGTGGGAAGTGGATTCCTGCTAGATTCGAAGCCTTCGCTGCTTTGAAGTGTTGTGTCTGTTTCCTTCAAAACACAGGGATGAACAAAACATGTGCAATGTGTTAACTCACACAACTGTTATCAACTGTTTTATATGCTCCCTCCGCCAAGGTAAAGGTGCCCACTATTGATGTTGTATTTGTTTTTGCCCGAACAACTTGTGTCTGAGTGAGACAAGTGGACCTTAGCCCTACCCTGTTGCCCTGTTGAATTGAAAGGTTAAAAACGTCGAACTGCAAAACGAGGTATGTACAAAGCTCAAAAAATAATGATAACATTCCAACGAAATAAAGGAGTCAATCACAAGCACCAGTCAAAGAGTAGTGTTGATGTGATATATCTATATATAAAACATATGGTGGTTGATCAAAACCCTTTCATCCTGGAATGTCCATTCTTCGCGGATCTATTCATGCTTGCTGCTTGTATCACAAAAAAGGGGACTGACATCTTGCAGCATGATCCCAGCAGAAGGTTGAGAGGTTCCACAGCTACTCAGGGTCACTTGCAGCATCAGCATCTGTGCGACATCTGTGCGACAAGCAGTATACTAAGTCCTGATGGGGCCTTAGAATAAATGAATAAAGTCAGGCACAACTCAGCCCAATCCTCGTGCCTACCAACGCAGGGGCGCAGCTTGGGGAATGTTGAGGGGCCTCGAGCTGGGAACGTGGACTTTAGCGGCACATTCGCGAAGCTTTCGCGGATCTTTCGCAAAATTTCACTGGTGACTTCCCCGGGAAGGCGTAACATTTGCAAACATCTGCACGGCCCGTCAGCAGCTGCAGGTTGTTGCCTCACTGTCAGCGCTGTGCCTACTCAGTTTTTCAGTATGTGACAGTGGGGACAGCAATCGGAGAATCCTTACACACTGCAAGGGCTAGGCAAGGACATGTTGAGGCCTCAGTTCGTTGACATGCGGGGACACTTCCGCCCACCGGCTCTGCCAAAGGATTGCCTTGTATGTCTACCATTTGTCGGTCGGTGGAAAGGAAAACATATTATGAAAGCTAGGACCTTCGATGAATCTTTCGCGAAAAAAAATACTTTCGCGAACCTCATCGTGAATCTTTCGCGGATGGTTTTAACAACATCTGAAAGGCAGTTTTATATAAAACTCCTTACACGGGGTTTTAGATCAACTCCCATGTAAAAGTATTATATTTACTTATAATATATCTACAGTTGTTCTATATTTATCTGAAGATGGTCAAAAGGATCCACACACTTCCCTTGCCTGGGCCAAATTCTGACTCAGGTCGCTAGAGACCTGGCTGGCTGGTTGAAAGCTCAAGAAACCTGTCTCATCTGTCTCCAAACCAAAGATTGGTTCATCAAGAAATAGTAATTTTCTGATTTGACCTGTGATTGACTTCTGGTCACCCAGGGAATGTGTCTTTTGCTTGGAAGATCGGTGACGTGTGTGCGAATTCGCATCTGCGCGCGCGGACACCGCGGCTGCGACAGGCTGCGGCGACGTTGCCTGTGACCCACGATGCATCGCAGCGAGCAAAGCGACGGTGGTTTGAGGTCCTGATTCCTCGTGTTGGTCTTTTCCGGATTTTGAAGACGAGAAAACGGATATCGCGGATAGTGCATGGGTTAGTTCATGCATGGGTGTTCTAGTGACCAGCGCCTGGTCCTAGCCTGTGTTCCTGAGCTGTTTCTACTGCAACGCCCGCACACCAATATATGTGGAGGCCTTCCGCACTTTGTGTGGAAAGCTCTGTCAACTGTGTTCAGAGCGGCATCAACTATCCTAAAGCAATCGGCATATTAAAACATATTGACATATGAGTTGTCCTTTCTCTCTCTCTTGCTTGTTTTGTGTAACCTAAACCCGTTAACTGCTCCTCTCTGACCCCTGACCACGACGGTTTCCCGTCCTCCGTCCTAACCGCCTCCGTGTCACACGACGGAACCGAGCTGCGCTCCGAGGCAGCGGGCCTTGGCACACAAGAGCTTGGAGGCGAAGTCATTGATGAATTCCTGCGAGGACGAAGGGAGCCGCGCGGCGCGGTGCGGGAATAAGGAAGCAGCGTCCAATGGACGCCGCGGCGGCACAATGGGAGGAGTCTGGGCGTGGATGTTTTGGCGGATGAATGAAACATGATGAAACCTTCAATGTTCATCAATCTTCACATCTTGGGGGTGGCTCTGGCCGATAGAACTGGAGAGAGGGGTCTACCAGGGGCCTCCCCAAAAGGGTGTCCATTTACCACCCCGACCAAGGGTCCAAAAGCTTTCTTCGCGTGAGTTTGGCCGACTTCAATGTCGCCACCCGGCGACTATTCGAGGTGGCAGCCATTCATAACATGAAAAGCCTCTGGTGACTCTGGTATTTTGGGTCATCAG